GTCAAACAGCATTTAACAGCTTTCCGTAGCCATCCCGGTTACGCGGACGAGCAAAATCAACGTGACCAAGCCGTGGTGGCCTCCTCGTTGGTCAACCGAACCTGGGAAAGGTAAACACGGTGGGTCCGGTGGTCGCTAGCTAGTGCTCGTTTCGTATGCGTGTATATACGAGGCTTCACAAAGGACGCGATGAAAGCTTGTTGACTATGCACGTACGAATTTCGTCAACATCCACCGTTCCAAATTTACCGTGCATTCCGATACACGGGGAGATATCGGTACGAGAAGAGAAAAGTTATCGGGAATAAAAGAATCTTCTTTTATTCCGGGACATGCGACCCGCGCAGATCGACGCGAAGCACGTACATAGGCTGCAAATGCGTCGAAGGACCTTCGCTTCGATCGCAGATAAGCGACACCGCGAACGGGGAAAATATGTGTGTCAAGATGCTGGCGAAACAGAAGCATGTGGTCGAACCTACGTTTTACGCATAACTGAAAGGAGAGGCAGAGAAGGAGAGACACGTTAATTACATTGAAAGCAACGACGGTCATTGTCGGTCTGCTCGATGCTGCTGCCGCGCGCCACCACAATTTATCGCTGATCAACGCGGTCTCTTCTCCGTTCCATCGACCTCCATATACGCGACACTATTGTTCGAGGATGCAGGTGCCTTGCGGGTTTTCGTCCTCGTGTTCGAGGAAAAACAGAAATCGATGATAGCAAAAAGTTCGGCGTGCTTTTCGACGAATTCTTTCATATTCCGCTTCCTGTTCGTATCATTGGTAGATCTTCTGCGAAGAAAGAAGTAAATAAACGAGGTTAGGATGATATTAGAAGGTATTGTTCAAGAATGTATACGCTCGAGGAATTTGCAATAGAGAAAAATTTGTGGTGGCATCATTCTCACCCTTGCCACTAGATGGATTCCAAATTCTCGGTAAGTCCTTCGTTTCCTACATGTAGCATTTTCAGACTTTCCAATAGTATCCCCATCTAAGACAGGGTCTGCTAGGTAGCCTTACCGATGAGTCCACTAGCAGGCTCAGGACGAAACGCATCCCTGCCTTTTCCTTTCGTACCTTCTAACATCATCGCCATATTGAGGATACCTGCGACCTGACGACTAACAGTAATCGTGAGAGAGAAGAGACAGCCCCCCTCTAACAAATTCATCGTGATTCCGCTTCCTCTTTGTACCATCGATGGATGCTCCTCGAAAAAGACGCAAATTAGAGAGGTTAGGAAGCAATATGCGCATGCGCGGATCGTCGTCTACATGCTCGATGTACGAGGATATAGATGACTTGTAATTTTTCGTCGAACTTCAAGAAACATACGATAGGGAAAAGGTTTATCGCGCTTTTCAAGGAAGCTTTGAAAATTCTACTGTCTCCACGTGGATCTTTTACGAAGGGAAAAAGGTAAGTTGGAGAGGTTAGGAACGTATGCGCGCGCGCGGTCACAACGTTCCTAAGTCACGTATGTGCATATATAGAACACCTGACATCTTAACGATCCAATCAATATTGCTGGCCTGTGTTTGCGAATTCCCGCGCGCCGAACAGGCACCGCGTGCCTACGTGACGGAAAGCAGAGAATCGCTGTGCAACTGGCGTATACCTCGTGCGAATCGCTGGAAACGTGGGGCAACGGATCTTCCGCCGCCATTTCGAAAGAACGCGACTCCCTGGTAGAACATTGGTCATCGAAAACACGATGAGAATCGCACGTAAAGTCGAAGTTTTAAGAACTCGGTGGAACGTCGATTAAATCATTCTTGATACTTTCGTTTGAATTTCTAACATTTTTAGGTGTAACATTTATCATATAACGATAATATTAACATCAATTTTTATTTGGATGCTGATATTAAAACGAGGTAAAGGAAAAGAGGGTTAACTACATTAGGAAACGGATAGCCTCATCGAGTACTCGAAAAAGTCGAATTTGCGTCTGTTTATGCAAGTGTCACTGAAGCGTGTAATAAATATGAAAGAGAGGAAAGTTTTTTAGTAAAAAGGAATGAAGTACCCTTGGTCTGAGGGTATTGATTAACGGAATTTAATTAAAGGTAATTCGATATCAAAATTTCAGAGTAAGTGAAAATTAAACAGAATCTAGGGTATTTATAGGCAATTACCTGACAACGCTCAATCAAGACGTAACTCTTTGTTTAAACAGGTCACGTCGTCAGCAGATATGCTGACATAAAAAGATTAAGAATAGAATATCAATCCATCGCTGATTCATTTTGGTATTTAATCTCGTCAAGATCTCTGATCTAATTCAAAAATAATTCGCATAAGTACCATGCATCGTGTATTTACACCATGAGCATCGCATAAAAGAAATGCGAACATTTGAATAAAATCGAGACCGTGGAAACGTTTCGTAATATAGCGCCTTTCTTTTGCAAATAAACATGGCGCTATTCCCTCCTCGACGATTCGACTGATCGAATGTCCCGGTACGCATAAAATATTTTGCAACTTTTGATAAGAAACGAACGCAACGTCCAAAGAGTCACATCGCGTTGGGAAAATTACCACTACCTCGTATACGTAATCAACCCTGCCGCCATCCGCAATGCGTATGTATGGTATCACCGAAATTCTGAAATACGTAATACACGCCCACTCTCGACATTCTCGAGCGAATGTGTTTGCGTTAGTTTCCATGACGCGTTTCCAAGTCGTTTACTTGGATTGCGTTGATTAACGTGATCTTCTGTGCCACGAAACCAAAGGTGTCACTGTCACGATGTTCATCGTATCTGAGCCAATCTATAACCGGACGATACCACAGTCTTATCTGCACGTACAGTTCGATAAAGCCACGAAATTATTGCCCCTTCAAATTGTCGATTAATCAAGTCAAATCTTTCACAATGTCACACGGTACTTTGTATTTACAAAATTCGCGTCGATTATCACTCGAATTGAAGAACATACGAGCTCTCGTAGACTCAAGCTCAATGCCACGACGCCATTATTCCGAGAGATTTTAAAAAACGATGATTTCATCATGCGCCTGGCGAGCTGCGACGCTAAATCGACCGCTTCGATTCGCTATTACCGACTGTACCTTAAGAAATCGTTTCCCGAACAACGAAATCGGTGCAGAGCCTCCAGAGAGACGGATAAAAGGGAGAAAAAGGAGAAAAAATCGAATCGTTCGATTTCCAAGTTAAATTCAACGAAGACGCGCGAGAAAATACGCCAAGGGGATACGCACACGTTCACGCGCAGTATAGATGGTGCTCAAATAAATCCGTGCGGATCGATCTGCAGTGTCAATGGCCGATGCGACGGTTCAAGCGGCCAAGATGCGAAACCGTGTTCTATAGCGTGGCCCGAAGAAATTGCCCAGTTGCTGCGAGCGCCGTCAGCGCGCCCCTCGCCGCCTTGATATATACACCGTGTCTCCAGTCTATTCTCGATCTCTCACAAGTGTTTATGACCGACTGTGCTGACACACTCGTGAAAGTCACTCGTTACAAGCGGCTACGCGTAAACGTCACTTTCCTTGACAATAGAAGCCACGAATATCGATGTAATATGCCAGATGACCATAATGCTTTCTCGAAAAGCTCGTGTCCTTCGCCAATGCGGTAGAACGTGTGATAAAAGTCAAAGAGTCGTGTATTTCTATTGCTCTTTCCCATGCAGCGCCAACGATGTTAGTATTTAATCGCTTCGTAAACATTGCTAACGGTAATTGATCTGGATATTCCTCGCGCACAGAATCGAGTATTATGCTGATACTCGCGCAACTCGTGGCCGTAATAAACCATAATTAAGTTGCAATTACTTTTCGATCGCGCCTGACGGACGATTTTCATTTCACTGTGTAGCTCTGTTCGCGGATTCTTCAATAGCGCCTTGAATCCAGCGGCGAATCGATCGATCGGCCAGTCGTACGCGGATACGTATGCGACCCGTGATATCTATGTATATACGGGTTTAATTGACACAAGCGGGCAAAGATAGAGTCGATTCTTCGTTGTCTATCTTATCTGCGCCGCGGCCATGAATTTTTTGACAACGCGTGGACCTTGGAGACAATACCAGCCGTATCAGTACGAGCCTAATTATCGATACCGTATAAAACCACGGAAAGAACGATGAGGAAGAGTGGCTGAGAGAGGGGTGGGGGAATGTCAAAATCGAACACCTGTACGTGCGTGATAACGAGCGTGTAGTTTTCCGTATTGCTGAGAAGTCTAGAGGAGGTTCGAGGTTATTCTATGAATCAACCACACGCTATTAATGCGAGTTCACCGCTATGATTTTACGATGGATATCACCGGAAACTTGACAAATTAATTACTCGAATCGATTCGAGTAAAATTGCCGTATAGGAATAATCTTTTAATTATTTTAATTAAAGGGGATCGCTCGACATCGATTTTGAAGTGTAACAGCGGTAATATATTTCTCTCGTCACACGATCGTGTGTTCTTGCATAATTCGTAAAGGACATATCGGAGTAGAAGATATTCGAAAATCCGCCAACTACGATATCGCGCATTGTTCCATATGATTGCTTGTTTTGAACAGTTCCACGTGCATACACAGTTAAGCACAGTAACGAAGCAAATATACCAGTATGAACACGAGTCACGCGAACATTGGCTCACCCTACTTAATGAGTGCTCTCGATGTAGCTCGTAGTAGATCCGTGTAAATATTTTTGGATAGTATTAGACTGAATAATGTCGGCAAGGTCGGCAGCGCGAAATATTTCTTCGATGTTGTGAAAGAATCTAGAATGCAGCGATGATTCACGTTGCGTAGAAGTACTTTGCAACGCATTATTACGTGACCGAAACGATACCGGTGCATAAAGATAATTATAGGATTTTTTACTTAAAACATGAAAGTTCGAGATGTTTCGCGAAATTAACATCGCTTAAAAATGTGATATTTAACTAGTGGATAAAAATGAGGAAATGCTAGGAGTAGAATACTTTCGAGATATCGATAACGATTCTTACCTCTCGTATTTGACTTGCATAGAATGAGCGGAGTTGTCCTCCCAGTAATTCTGTGTCTCCATCATCTTGCCGCATAGAATCGTTTCCAATGCACAACACGATCACTTCCGATTTCCAGTCGCTGTCACCGTTAGCTTCTAGACCTCTCGTTTCCTCTCCTCGTTTATCTTCAACTATCCGTCACCTTTCTCTCTCGATCTGTTTCCGTTTCCACACGGGGACCGAAAAACTTTCTTCTTTGAATTCACGCCCGTAACACGCACGTTAAGAAAGCAACTGTCCGTAATTGAGCGCGAAATTTAACGATACGCACAAATGTATTTCCACCGAGCGCAAAATTAATTATACTTAACGAATATCCGAAAAAAGAGTCAAGTCCTCTTTAAACCGATGGCTTCTTGATCGATAGTGCGCACCCGACGACTAGGTTAGGTTCGCCTCCACAAACTCACTGACACACTCGAAACGACACGACGGACCAGGAGGCCGGTACTTGGGAATCGCCCACGTCTTTCCGTCCAGTCACACTCACCGATATATCTGTACTGGCGCCCTCTTCTTTTCTTCTCTGTCTTCCTTCCTATTTCCCGATTTCTTTTTTTGGAACCGGCGATTGCCGATCGATCTCTCGCTACAGCAATCTCCTATAAGCGTAACGATCAGATTTTTAAAGTCGTTCTACTATCCGCTGCGAAACGTTTTCACTCAAATAGGCTCCTGAGCGTTTTCACTCAATAGGATCCTGAGACATAAATGTGAATGACGATAAGGCCGTTGACTCGTTCGACCGCGAAATTCCGCGATATACTAACTGGCAGGGCCGTAAGAATTGAACGGGTCGCGCGTTAGCTAGCGCGTCACCGTATCCGGAACCTATAGGTGCGCCTCTTTAGGTGCGTACGCATGCACTTTACGAATTTCACGTGGCAATGCTTGGCGGCGCTCGGGATGTACTCTGGACCAATGATTACGTTACATGCACGATTGATATTCTCCATCAATCACACCCACCCTTTCTATCGATGCGATGTATAGTTCGTACCATATAGTAGATTCGAGATTGGAATTTCAGGGATAACAAAAATAAAAAGAATCTTGCTCCAACAGTTCGTATTCCGGAGTATATAAACGCGTATCGTCTCCTTAGCAGGCTACACTACGCGTATAATGCGCGGCCCTGTTCGATTCTCGCGATGGTCCGCGGTGTGGCACGCAGACCATTGGTGGGAGCGATCCAGAACCATCTCAGGTACGGAACCATCGATCTCAGAACCACGCAACTCAGGATCCAACATAAATCGACTGGTATACATTTTTCCGTTTGCGCGATACAATTGTTCACAGGTGTCATTGTCACAACTACATCTTCTTTCTCTTATCGGACTAATTCTTATTGAAATACGGTACCGTTATGACAGATAGGAGTAACCGAGCAATCGTTACGTAGCTCCATCATTTTTTATAATCTACGATATCTTTCAACAACGGTAACGTGCCGATGAGTGTGCGTTAGCTAGCTTTGCGAAATACCCTGATAAGACAATTTGTTCTTAGTACATCACGTGTTGATAATATTACGTGTGGATCGATATAATGATCTGGAAATAGCTTTAGCGATACGCGCTCCTGTATATTGTACAAAAACAAAAACAAAAAAAGATTAATGTATACCTAACATTTGTATTCCTCGAATCGATGTGATTTGTAGACACGTGTTTGTCATTGATTATCTCATCTAAAAATCGTACCTTACTTCACGGTTTGATATAAAAGTGTTACTTCACGTTGGGTTACAGAACTGTACAGGAACAATACACATCGATAATTTCGCGTCTTAGGCAAAAATTCGAATCATAAATCAATAAAGATAATTAAACGACAGACCATCGTATGTCGCATTAACGCGTAATACAGATCGTCATAATACGGACATAACCAAACAAACGCGCACGTGGTTCTAGCATTCCGTATGTACAATAGGTACAATATATCTTTTCGGCGGTGTTAAAAATTCAAGGGCCGCGCAAATACCCGTCGCAGACGGTAGAAACGAATTACCTTAATGACGAACAAACGAACCGCAGATAAGAGTCCTCTGCGTTTCTGGAAGTCACCGCAGAACGCGATACTAAACGTGCAAGTTAACGTTGCCTGACACCGTGCCGCGAAGTCGACTAAATTTCTCGAGCGTACGCTTTCACCCTTCCATTTCGCTGGAATCTCGTCGATACGATTCAACGATGCCTGTTGAGGAGAAACCGGCTATTTTTTCCTTTCTCAACCCGCAAGAGGACCGTCACGTAACAACTTCGCGCGGTAATGCAAATCCGTTTGCTCGTCGCGTCTTGGACACGGCAAAAGTGCTAGGATCGCGAGGGTGGCAGGGGTGAGGTATAGAAAGAAAAAATGGTGACTTTCCAGGTGAAAGTCTACGACGCAGGGGGTGAAGCGGGGACTTGAGACGTTACTGACCAACACGGGTAGCGGAGAACGGTAGGCGGGAGGGAGGCGCAGAAGGTAAGGAACACTCGGGACGCGGAGTCGAACGAAGAGAGGGATAAGCGGTTACCACGCTATGTGACACGTGCGCGTGACGTCACGGGGCCGGTCACGCGAGCACCGTGTGCTCCCGGTCACGTGTCCTGTCACGCGCTCGCTCCACCCCTCTTTCCCCTGTCTGCCGCCCCTGCTCACCACACCATTGCATCCCTTCCTACGAGACTGTTGACCATCTCTCTCACCACCTTTTATTCCGCTCCGCTTCTCCTTGTTCGTTCTCGATCACGGTCTACGTGCCTTAGCTTGGCTCTTTCTTCCTTCCACCGATTGGATCGAAGCAGAGTGTGAGACCGCAGGCTCGACGGGTATTCAGGCTCCGCCGTGACACGAGGACACGCGGTAATGATAGTTCTCGCTCTCGCGCGATTCGACGATGTGTTTATACCTGCGCCGTGGCGTTTGCGTGCTCTGCAGCTCGTTCACGCATACGTCGCGTCGCGTCCTCCCAGACATTGCGTTCGTTTTATCGAATGGATTAAATTTTGATTATTCAGCATCCGCGTTACTGCTTCGCATGAATTTGAACGCAAGCTTGCGTTACGAGAACTGGGTTATTGAAGCACGTTCGTCGAAAGATGTGTCAAAAATATAGCAGATATCGAGGGCGTATTTTTCCCTGTATATTTCGATTGTGATATAACTGAAATTTTAAAACGAACGATAAACTTATCGCACAGAAGAATCGTAACCGTAAGCATAGTAAAAGAAATCGATATTTCGTATACCTATCGTTAGTACATCGATTTGAAAATGCGCAAATTGCGAGCAATATCCAGTCGTACACGACCCTTTAAATAATGTATGCGATAACAGTGGTTGACGAAGAAGCTACGTTTGCAAATAAGGTCGTTGCACGACTCCATTATGAACAATGAAACGTGGTCAAAGCAGAAAATCAGAAACGTGACCGACTTCGCTGGAAAATTGATCGATTTTAATCTTGATCATAATGCTTGTTCTAGGCGACATACTTTTCTAGTTTTGCAGGTCACCTGTGGAATCCAGATCTCGCTTCTGTTACACGTACACGCACGATCGAACACGTCGCGCAGGTGATTACGCTCATTGGTCGATCGCGTGACTGCATTAAAACTGAAAAGAAATTACGGTGAACGCGCGGAAAGAATGCAGTTAACGATGCGTTTTTGTCGGTGAGATTTACGCATTACGAAACATTTTTATGACGTTGAACGTCCACAGACGGACTAGAAAGTATAAGCATTTTTGCTTATGTAAACGTTGGCTTGCCGGTGGACAAGTAATTCCAAGACGAACGATCCAGTTCATAAACACAGGATCTATGAGTGTAAAAAGAAATTGGATATGACATTATTTTCACTTTCCAATTACGCGTCGTCTATAATAATACCATAAATTTCTTTAAATAGCTCTAAAAAAAAAAAAACAACACACGTTAAATTTTTACATTCGTACGAAACGATAAATGTATCATTATAGAAAAATGTTAAATTACCATATTCGTGATCATACGATGATCACCGGAACAAGAGGTCGTTGCTTAATATATCCGGTATATAATGTATTTAGCTTAAATGTTTCACGTTACCGAGAAAGTGAACTTTTTGGCTTGTTCCCCCTTTAAAGCGGCTACGAACTTGACGTATGCACGAGTACTCGTGTAACGCGACCGATTCGAAAATAGGCGTCTTATTTTCTGCACGGCTCAGGAGAAAATAAACGCAATCTGTGGCAACTCCGGGCTATTCTTGATCTGGTACACCATTACGTGTCCCGTGTCGTGCATTAATCGACTCGGTCTTCGTGGCTGCTCTGAAAAGAAATTATTGAACTTAATATTCGTCAATTGGGTGTAACGTACAGACGGCGATATTTTGGTACACTTGAACGGTTGATCACAAGTAGGTTTGATAGGGTGTCGTTATCGGAGCCAGATCTTTAACCTTTGATTCCGGATTCTACCACGAGACGGAGCAATTTAAATTCCTTCTAGAGCACTGGACGGATTCCTCTTTGAGCTGGAATTAAATTATGCATCATTCAAACGGTGACCATGTCCCACCACGTGCCTACGTGACTTTTAGATAGAACGCCGCCGTGGGTGGACACATGTCGATGAATATTCAACGATGTTTGCATGTTTTCGACAGCCATTGTTGCTACAATTATTTTCGTACGTTGCAGTCATCGTCGTAATACGACAGTATATCCCGGATAGATCTAGATTTCGTTGGAGAAAATATATCACCCATTCCTCGGTCCCTTTGTCTCGATTTTGACGCAATACCTGAAGAACACGTAATTCGCATTACGTAAAACCGAAGAACGTTGAATTAGTAATGACGTGACAACGTGAAATTGATGTGGCCACGGTTTTAGAACAATAAAAAAAAAAAAAAGAAGAGAGAAAAAGAACGTTACACAAGGGTCGAGTGAGGGCACGTGAAAACAATTACGTCACGGTGATTGCATTGCTGGTGTATCGAGGTGCTTCCCCTCGATTATCGCCTGAAAATCACGTCTCGCAGAAATGTCCGCTCGTTTGTCCTTGGCAAATTAGAACATTCGCTTCGGCCGATACATAATTATAGCCGTTACGTTGCGTTCCCTTCTTGCCCTGGATAGCTCTGATTCCCGCGAGGAAATCCTGATAGGTCCTCACGTTCTCAAGGAACGAACTCCTGACGTGACTTCGTACTTGAACCTGAAAATCCCACATGTATCTCACTCTCTCTTATTTTTATTGCACGAAGCTCATTGGACAATATAGTTACCCTGTATTATCTCATACTCCGATTTAACCTTCGCAATTCGAGTCAACGATTTATTTGGAAACTCGCGGAAGCTACCTGCAGTCAATAACAAACGAAAATTAATCCGACAAAATAATTCTTAATACGCAGTATATTATTTATATACCATGTGCGCATGCGCATTGAAAATATAACCTGTCAAATAATTATCCCAAATATCACGCATTTATTTTGAAACACCCTGTACATTGTCCATAGTACACCAAGATTCAATCTGTTCTATATAAATTTTCACTTCCATAAAAACCAATAACACTAATCAGTAATGCTTTCCGAATCGATGTGCAATATAACGATCCAGAAGGAAACCATAACTTCGGTTGTGCTAGATAACGTGGTCGCCTATCCTTCAGTTACCTGTCCAAGTCGATAATTCTGAAACGACACAGCGCGGAGACGCGATATTACACAATTGAAAAGTTACATTATTTAAACAGATCCGCGTAAAAAGGACCTACATTTCCAAAGTATAATTGTATGTCATTCTGTTGTAACCGGACGACGTCGCATCGTTCGTAATTCGACATGTATAATGGACCAACGTCCAAGAGATGTCATCGCGCACAGTGTGTGCAAAATAACCAACTCTCTGTTCTACCGAGTGCGCGGTCGGATACATTGCGTGCACGTGTCGGTAAGGGTAAACGCGTGGTCGAGCGCGTGACTTGGCGGCCGAGGCGTGCCCTTCTCTCGATCACGTGGAATGCAACGCGGTGCCTTCTCCCCGTCCTCGTCCCACTCACGCGACTGTAATCGTTCTCTATCCTCGTTCACGATCCTCTACCGTCGCGGTTTCGAATGCACGCGTTTCTCTCTAATTCACGAGTCATGCTAACCCGTTTTCTCTATACGAGTCAGCCGACACGCAGGTATGCCGATTGCTGCACGTTCATCGTGGCGTCTCTTTGCGTGCACCTTTCGGTCGCTAAAGAGAAGGTGCTAAGGAAATAAAAAAAAGTAAAATACTCGGACTGTTCCAAGTCTTTCTACAAATATATCAAGATGCAGGACTCGCCATGACGATATTGAGAAATGACCTTTTGATTAACAGCGAGGGTGATTGAGAACGTTCTGTTTTATTCTGACTAATTTATAGTCGGATTAATTTACAATGGTAAGTGAAGGATTTTACGCCGATGTTATTTTAGATGTTCGTTACACGACTCAACGAATACTAATTTCTATTTGTAAATAATCTGAATATAAATAACAATATTTTTGTTTTTTGTTCATAATACAAGCATTTCCTCGATTTGATATTTATGACATCGTGTAACTCAAATTTAGATAAAATTCCACACCAGAGCCACTAATACCAACGCGAAGAGCTAATAATAATTCTGTTATCATAATACCAAAAATAGACTGCCTAGAACGTTCGCTTGAAATCAACGATGGGCTCTCGTTATCGATACCTACATATAAGGAAACCAGCAGCATGAGTGACTATTTAAAGCGAACCCTAGAGACGCACTTCCGGCCTAAATACGCGGCTCGAGTGCGAGATCCGGTTTCTGATTACTTTGAGGTCACCTGTTACCTGCGACAGATCGTGATTTATAGTTGACTTTCAAAAGGTAGCATACTTGTAAAGAATGAATGAATAAATGAACTTACAAAGTCGAATTATTTTCTTCCTAACCATTGCTATTATACGTTTCATTCATCAAACTTGCTAACTACTATTAATATTCAATATAATATGTGGAATTAATACCCGTTAAATACTAAATCGAGTGTAAAAGATGATACAAAATTAATAGTATATATAATTTATAACTGTAAAATCTATACATCCATATATTGCAAATTTGAGTTTTCAAATCGTTTTCCAAATCTTGAAAATTTTGTTTCCTTCTGATATGCTAGCTTCATAAACTGCTGTTACGTTCATTGTACAACATTATAGAATGCTGCAACATGTTTCAACTGGGCAACAAGCCTGCGATATGTCTTTATATGGATCCATGATTGTAACAGGTCCAAGCAGAGTCGTTTTAATTTGACAGCGTCCGTGAAAATCTTTACGAGCATGGGTAAAATGATACCCGGCGCTTACTACTTACAGTCGGTAATATGAAACTCCATCCGGCTTGATAATCAAAAGTCGCATGTTCAAAATGATGTCCCATGGTAGCTCTGTGCTAGTTTCTATTTTTTTATTCTATGCATTAGCAAAAAAGAAAAAACAAATGAAAAAATTGGATCGTAATGTGTAATTGGGTAACTTATTGATTTTTAAGATTGGCACTATTGCATAGCATGAAGCAAAATATTTCGATAAGTTATTTTTACATCACATACTAAAAGTTTTGGTTTTGGAAGTTCAAATTTTATGCAATATAGAAACATTACATAAATAATGTTATCGACGTTATTACAACCTATGTTGTATAAAATTAGATATCTACTTCATTAATGGAACGAATGTCTAAAAGGTCATGTTTTTCATATTTCATTGGCATATGCAGAACATAACAGATTTAAATTAAATAAAATCACCAAAATGAATTGCAAATTTGATGTACGTAAGATTGATCTAAACACACTCGGAAAGAATGAAATATTATTGTACCAATAACGTATCTACTAATTATTTTTACCATACGATGCTTTAGAAAGTATCACATCAAAGGGAATAGAGAAAAACATTTTCTAACCTACCCTTCGATAATCGATATTCTTTTTCAGGAATATACTTGCAAACGTGAATATTATGTTCTAAAGAATAACACTTTCTAAACAAACGTATATGCATCCAATGAATACATAAGTATGTGCTGCTGCCAAATTAACGTAATCTATACTTTATTTTCACATGTTTTTCGAGTCCAATGTCACGTTTTGCTTAAACGTGCTGCAACAGCCAACCAACATGTACACGTATTTGTTTCCCACGAACATAGTCGATCCTGTTAAATACAGGCGCTTTTTCATTTAAACAAGCAATGGATCGATTCACAAAGAACGTCACTTCTTTAGATCATCGCGCTTTGTAGCAGATACATCGAACTGTATTTGTAACATAATTACAAAATTGCCGAATGTATTTTTAGCATCTTTAGTTTTCTTTAAAATCATTTAATTATCAATCATAAGAAATGCAAGTACATTATCATAAATTGCGTCGATATGATTGCATTTCGAAACATTGGCATAACAATGCCATCTATATGGATTATTCAAAAGGAAACATTCCCCTATGAACCAAATATTCAGGTTTCTTAATTCTGTTTGGTTCTTTCTTTTCATTGTTTTAACTGTTGCGCTTTATCATCGACCTTTGCCTTCAACGAAACTGTCTTTCAAGGAGGATGCTAGATATTACAGAATCATCATCGAGTTTAATGTTTACGGTTTTTGAAGCTAAATTACTTATCTTTAGAACTTTCGAAAAATGTTATCAAATGATATTACACATGTCGTGATACACAGGATTTATGGCAAAAAAAGCAAATAATGAATCGAAATTTAGATGCGCAATAGTTATTTAAACCATTTTCTCTAGTTTAATAACTAGCAACATCCTATTGATATCTTGAAAACCGACGTAAATGTTTTATTGCATTACTTTTCTGTAGATTTAGTATAGATAAAAAAGTATCAATGTTAAAGTTGGGACAATCTTGTAGGGTAGTTACTGAGAACACACGCATTCTACTAGCTTTGTTTACGCCACCAAGTGTGTTGCTTCTGACTGTTATCGCTGTGAAACCGGTTTGACGTTGGATTTATTCAGTTCCGATATCGACTGCCGCTGGAGGAGTTCAAGAAGGCAACTGACGATTAAAAATGCCATCGGATGTCGAGCTGTTCCTAGCTAGTTATCGTGATTTTTCATTTTTCTTTCAATCCGAATGCACGTGACGGCTGACGATAAATGTCCGAGTATAAAAAGAATCTAATAATGTTATTATTCTGGGATATCTTTCAGCTGATTAAATTAATTTACTTTAACATCTTTGATGGTTCTCTGTAGCTTGCACAAATGTACATCGAGCACGCATTGAAGACGTGTTAATTCTAGTTACGAACATTCTTTCGCTCACTCTCTCTACAATTCTTCTTCTATCATTGTGTTTAAACATACAGTATTTATTCGACGATTTATTCTTATGTATCCAATATAATCATTTATTAACTTACTAAATACAAGTACTTTTTTTAGTTTCATATTTTTTTTTCACGTGCGAATGATGATCGCACGATAAAGGTCCTCTTTATTCCCTTACACAGACATTTAGCAAATTAGTTTCATCATCATTTCAAATGGAAGCAAAATGAATTTTAGTATCGTGTGGAATACAATTATTACCATGCAATTGCATGTCAAGTTTTAACGTGATGGACATTAACCACGTAATTGGTCGACTTTGATTAATCGGTTCTCTTGGTATGCTTGATTATTATTTTTATCAAGATGTTTCAAATTATCAATAGACAAATCATCTATCATCATCAACGGTAACTTTGCCAAAGATCGAATAGTTTTGTACATAATGTACAAGAGATGCATAAAATTGTAGTTTTTCCATTCGCGCTATGCACCATGAAAATTGAATTTAGTATATAACAGTCATTTCTGGTGTATACAGTATCATAAACTTACATAGCCCTTGTCTTATTTATAAATTGACAAGTCATCATTTTTATAAACAATTGTCCACTTTTTTTCACCATTCATTCGTAATATTTTCCTCCCTCGGAAATATACAGATAAATGATTTGCACCCACGAATGATCGACACATCAAAACAATATACTTTTTTTTCTGTTCTATCGAAGTATTAAAAAATATCAAATAATTGATCGTTACTTCTAACGAGAATATAAAATTATATAACATACAGCTGTAACTTTACGATTCCAATAGTGAACAATTATTATATAACATTAATACAATAAAATGAGAAAACAGATATAAAGTATTACCCTAATTGTGATTGAAGAAAATATAAAGATTACTGAAATAAATCATTACACGATCTATACGATAGGGTTGTAAAAGACTGACTGTTAGAAACCTGTGTCGACTACAATTGTGGGAGCATGCGAATTCATACTGCATGCGATAATTATATCTCACCAAAAAGATTACAGACAAATCAATTATTTATCTTGATTATATTCAGTCCCGTTCGCCCCTTTCTTCGGCACGTTCTTCTGCTCTTGCTTTCATTCTAGTTATAAATGCTTGACCCTTACTCTTTCTAAAGTTCTCATATGGATCATTTAGATTAATACCAACGCCTTTATATTGATCGTTTTTATCCCTGATTTCACCCCCCGATATTGGAGCTTCAATACCCTGTTCATTGGCACCAAGTCCCGCACCACTCCAACCCATTTTTTTGAGCAACTGATGACCTTTGTTACTTTCGTCGAGACTAATTTCTTGAGGAGCTTTACTATAAGTTGATCCGCTGTAAGAAATCAATTTGTAGAAGTCGAACTTTCACACACGATATTACTTTTTACTAATTATCGATACTTACAGGAAACTGGGTGGAGTTGGACTTCTATCTTGTCTGTCCATTCTCCTATCAGGACTTCGATCCTTGTTGCTATTTCTCCTTCTTCTGCTTCTGTTATTATGGTTGCTGTTGCGACTATTACGCCTGTGATTGGCAGCAGGGGATCTAGATCTGCTTCTACCTCTAGATCTTGAGCGTGATCTACTTCGCGATTTACTTCGATAACGTTTCTTTGGTGGACTAGGACTTTTGGATCTTCGCCTTAGAATTGGTGATGGCGATTTTGATTTTTGTCTTATACCAGCTGCTATATCTTCTTCTTTACGCTTACGTGCAACATTCTTAGCTTTATAATACTCATATAAACCTAACTTTTCCCATCCATCGCTATAATTCATAACCATTACAATTAAAGATTTTATTCAATGTTTCGAACATTATTCACGCTCGAGTCCATATGTATGATTTATTTTATATTCTTACCTGTCCCGTGGAGAATCATGATTTGGTGGTGCATAAAACGCTTCTACAGCCGCTACTAGTCGTTCACTTGGAGGAGCAGGTGGTGGAAGTCTGATAGCTTCTGGATCCAAAGGTTTATATTCAGCATCTTCTAACTTGATCAAGGGCACCATCAAGCCAGCAGGAAGTTCGTAGTAAGGCATACTAGGCATTAAATCTTCAACAGATGGCTCGTGTATAACAGGTGGAGGACCAAATCCAGGCGGTGGTTTAGAAAAATCTGGTAATGGAACATTCGAAAATGGTGGAGGTTCATTTCCGGGAGGTACACCCCATCCGGGTGGCGGTTGACTGAAATTTACATCTGTGCTTATTGGAGCAGGAGGACCGGAATGACTAGGTGGCATCGACATATTTTGCTGATTCTGTAAAATATCAATCAACATTAGTGTTTATAATATATAAATAAATATACATACAAAAAAATAAGAATAACTTACCATTTGCGGTGGTGGCGGAGGTGGAGCTTTTAACTGTTGATCAATTGCTATTTTTTGTTGCTCAATATTTTGAATTTGTCTCAGAGCATGTGTAACAAACGCTTGATGTTGTGCTTGATAGTTATCAAAGGTTTGTTTTGTTGATGTAGTAATCGGTGTAATTGCAGTGGCATGTTGTGCAACCAGGTTAGCCTGATATTCAGACCAAGATGTACTTGGTTGTTTCAATTTATCTATAATTCCTTCATCAAAGTAATTATTTTTTGACTCCCATAAACTTAATAGCTTATTTAATTTATTAAGTTGTTCTTCTGATGCAGCTAGTGAAGTGTTACAGAACATGGGAACAACAACACTTTCCATTGCCTTGCGAAGATCCATAGATTTTTTTCTTGCACTAAAGAAGTTTAAAATTAAATATCGTGCACAACTATTTTTATGGAAGTTATCAAACTTTATAACTATAAATACTATTTATACTGGAATCGGAGTATTAAATATTACACTCATTGTATCAAATAGTACTTTAATTTAAAAACTGATTTTTATAAATATTTAAGAACATAAAATTTGCAATTGTTGTTAAAAATGAATATCATACTTACCAATGATGCAAGACATCATTGACCAGGTAGATAATATGGAGTTTATGACTAAAATTTGTTGCCTGAATTACTCTGAAAAAAATAATTAAAAATTAGTCGATTCAGCTTTAATATGATATGATTATGGTAAAATAAAACATACTTTTTCAGCAAATGATCCGCAACGACTTGATTACTTTGCGGAGTAATCGAATTTTGAAGTATCCAGGCTTTCCCTGCACTTATACTATCTTTTGTGCAGCTATCAATGATAGGCTGTAACACTGCATCAAATGCAGCAAGATCTGTGCTTGTGCTTTGTGCACTATTTTGTAAAGCTGTTTCTTGAGCTTGTCTCACAGCATCCTCAACCCTTCCTTGCTGTTGTGCCATCAATGCAGCATGTTGCGCAGCCAGATTTTGTTCTGATTGTCTAACTTGTTCTTGTAGTGTGGTCTGCTGTGACTGAAGGTTTGCTAATTCATTTTGAAGCCATCCAGGAGGTCCTCCAATGTTAACCGGTTGAGTAACACCACCAATGGATGGATTCACACCTCCCATAGCACCAGGGACTGGTCCAATTGGTGGTCCTGCATTTCCTGGCCCTCCAATTTGTCCTGGTACTCCAGGTATAACTGGACCAGCTTGATTTCCTACTGGTCCAATTCCCACAACTGGGTTTAATCCATTGTTTTGAGTATTTAGGCCAGATGCAAGATTGACGTTATTCAGTGGCTGCGCGACGGTAGCGGCTGTTTGCTGCTGCTGCGAAACGTTTAAACGTGGGTCTGCATTTTGCATTGGATTTATTCCTTTTTGCTTTAAAACTGTAAACGAATGACGGTGGATTATTGTAAGATGTTTGATTCCTTCAATGGATATTGAAAAAGTATACAAATAGTCCAATTTCTGTTGAGTCTTATCTTCTACCAGTGCATAATAAAATTCTTGGCATTTATGAGAGAATTATATTGAAAATTCGTTAAGTCTTTTGGGAGCACTATACTCTTTCCAGAAGCAATATATCAACAATGTAGTCCGTATTAGATAAGCTCCAGTAAGAATCTTAAAACTACATCTTCTTAAAATCACCATTGCCAAGAAATAGAATATGTCTTTAGCTAAAGCATTCTGCTTAATAAATAGCAATCCCAAAATCTTGAAATGAAGTGCTCATATTCGATGAATAATAGCTTTGTATGTTCACTATGACGAATTCAGACCCTTTCACCCGTATCTCTTTTTCAAAGTCATTCCTTGTTCGTTGAATAAAGCATGGCCATTATGCTTCTCAATTGTTGTAGCTGTTAAGGGGCTGTATCCCACTTACTGGCTTGCTCTGTAGTCACTTTGTATTGATAGTAGTTGAAGTGCTCTCCACCAAACAGGAAACCGAATTTTGGGTTGTCCTTCTGCTTGTTTTTCGTCATCTGCTCGAACTCTGGTCCATTGCGAGCCACAAACTGAGCCAGTTTGTCTATGATGTTCCGTAACTCTGTATCTGGGTATTATACCAAAATGAACAGAATTAGTATAATACCCTAACAATTATGAATTACTTATACAATTATTACAATATAAATGGCAATATTTAAATACAGTACTGAAATAGGATCTCTTATTTTTAAAGTACGTAGTCCTAAATCAGCCCATCGTAACCTGAAATATTGAATCTGTTTTGAAACTTATCACTTTATGAACATATCTACGGAGATTTGCCTGAGGATAATTTAATTCGTCGAGTGAATACTTTTTTAATGGTAGCCTAATACGTTGCACAGGTTTACATAACCTACTATTTAGAATCTACATTTTGTCTTTTTTAAACGTATTTCATTATTTCCATTGTGCGGAAACTCACAAATCCTCAATTCTGACTAACTAAAATGCTAAAACGATAGATCATAGGTATTACGGTTAATAAAAAAGATGGAACGTTAATATGCTCGCCCGGAGTGAGAATGTGCAAGACCGCGTTTGGCCAAGTCGCCAAATCACAACATTCTTTTCTTACCTGCAGGTGCCTGGTCCATTATCGCGATTACTCTTTTACTTTTACACTGAATTTGATCACGTTTATTTTTACTTTCGTTAACACTTTTCCGTACACGATCGTTGTACGGCTCCGGAAAACATTATTTTTTTACACTGAACACGACAACGCTAGACGTCGCCATTAATTCCGGAGTATTCATGTTTCAAAGAACCACCACTAGAGCCGCTGACACACTAATTTATCACATGCGGAAATTCCTCCATTTCGGCTCATTTTCATTTACGTTTCATAGGATTTGCTTTCCTGTCAATTTTCTACGGTGTTTGTGTTCGTATCAATTTTTTGTGTAATAACTATGAGTAGCAAGTGCAGACAGCAACATATTTTTAAGAACCTGTCCAAATTTTATTCGCATATTGATTTCACAATTTTATAACGTAAACGTGTTTTTTAAAAGTTATTCTTTGTATATATTGTAAAATCCTTTTGTGACATTTAACGTTTATTTTTGTTAAGTTTTAATTATTTGTTGCATATTATGGTTAAATAATTTTAATATTACCGATATTGTTGTTTGAACTTTATTTACTAATCGATTTTACTACATAACCTATTGTGTCATATGTTTTAATATTCAAATTAGTTTAGTTTTGTATTTTTTATTAATTATTTGATAATGTTTAAAAGTACAATTAATAATGACTTTTCTTTGCGTTAGTTGGGTAAATTTTAGAAATGCCTGTAGCAGAAGTAAAATCTAGTTGGGCTGATGAGGTCGAAGAAGAGGGAGGAGCGTTACCTCCACCATCAGAGACTTATGAAAATGGGTTTAAAATTCTCACTGAATACAAATATAATATGGATGATAAGAAAGTCAAGGTGGTCCGTACATATAAGATCGAAAAACGTATAGTTTCAAAAACAATTGCTGCACGTAAAAACTGGGCCAAATTTGGAGATTCTGCAGATGATCGACCTGGACCCAATCCTGCCACTACAGTTGGTAGTGAAGACGTCTTTATGCAATTTATTTCAAATAAGGAAGAAGAAAATAAGGTTGAAGAAGATACTCTTGAGAAATTGAAGAATATGGGAGATAAAGGTGTAGTTAAATGTCGTAAATGTAATGGGGACCACTGGACCTCTAAATGCCCTTATAAAGATACTGTTCTTGCTGGAGGTATGTTTCATTATTATAAATTAATTTGTGAGAAGTAATATTGTTTAATTATATGACATATATGGTTTAATGAACAGGTAAAGTGCTAGATGATAAGAAACCACTTGTTAATACTGGTACTCCTGGAACAATGGCGGAATTGAAACCTCAAGGTGTTAAATACATACCACCTGGTATGCGCGATGGTGCCAGCAAACGTGGGGATACTCTACAGATACAAAGACGCGATGACACTACTGCTATACGTATTTCCAATTTGTCAGAAAGTACTACTGATGCAGATTTGGATGAGCTTGTTAAGCCATTTGGCTCTGTTCTTAAATATTATCTTGCTAAAGACAAGCAAACTAACCTTTGCAAGGGATTTGCTTATGTACATTTCAAATATAGGATAGAAGCAGCTAAAGCTATTGCTACATTGAATGGTTATGGATATGACCACCTTATCTTAAACGTAGACTGGTCAAAACCACAACAACAAAATAATTGAGAATATTAAATAAATATTCAGTTCTTATTATCTGAATTCTACAGTATATTAAAATGAAGGAGATTGCTTAAGTGTGACACCAGAAGCAGATATAAGAATAAGTTTGTTACAATTTCTAATGCTTTGAATAGCAAAAATTAGAATAGTATAATGATGGTAATGGTAACATAGTATTAATACAATTTTTTAAATTATATATGACCAATTACAAAATAGCTTGTCTGTTTCCTGGTGTCACAATTTTTAACTCTTTTTACATTTTTTCATTTGCCATGGTAAAATATGATATATCTATTAAAATGCTATTTGTGTTTCTAATATCTTTTTGATCAAAAATAAATCATGTGTCACAAAACTTAGCATTTATTTATGAAATGTTAACAATTTCTAACCGAAATATCTTCGGATATGTTTTTTCCTTCTTTGAGAAGTTGTATAACAGTAAGAAGAGGTTTTTATACATTTTTGCAATATGTAATATATAAAAGAAAGGAAATTCGTATCCGGTTTAATTCAGTTCAATTGCCAAATTTAAAATGAAATTTTGTTTTTAGTATTTTTATATTAAAATTTTATACTCAACAAATACACTGTCTACATTTATCTGTTTAAACGCAAAATAATACGGCATTGCAATAAATACGAGTATCGCCAGTTCTAAACGTTAGATCCATACGCGGTACTATCATGATTGCAATTGAGAAACAAAGAAATTACGATACAAATTAACGCTTAAGTGATACATAGATGCAAAAACAAAATAAAACAGTACAAAAGTAATCACACAGGTGTTGTTCACCACCTGTACGTTAAAAACTACAATTAATACTACATTGCCTAAGTACTTCGAAATGGTAACTCTAATCAACAACCTTATGCTGCTCAACGGAGCCTAACAAATATCATACAGATAGCAAAAAACACGTATTAACTTTCGTTTAATATATATATATATATATATATATGTATATATATATATAT